CAGAGTACTCGTCTCCGTCGTTCTTTGCCGAGTTGCTGCATGCATGTCCTGTTGATTTGCCTGTTATGTCTCGCCGTGAAGGCACAATGCCACTTTGACGTTGCATGTCGTCTCGAAGATGGCGTTGTCTTTGTGTTGGAGCCCGTGACTTGAAATGTCTGCGTGCACGTTGCTAGGTCGTGTAGGAGTAGGACTCTCTTGCCGTACGTGTTGGTAGCTGAGACGTCAAGGCCCTGGAACCAGAGCAGCATGCGATGCGATACAGACGTGGCCTGTCCGGGTTGGACTTGCTATCTTGTTTGCTTGATCAGGCTTGATGTCGCGATCTGCATGTTGGGCTTGAAGCATGCTGTCCGGGTGCCGCTGTAAGATGACAAACGTGGCTTAAGGGTTTGACATACATTGTCCTGGCTTTTTAAATTCTCCAACAGCATTCTACTATATGACTATCATACAACTTCGAGTAAGTTCAACTCTATACTTAAAGTTTTGTTCGATATATTTTATTCGATGTAAAAGAGTTTATCTAGTTCTATAATTAAATCCATGCAGCAACTACTGGATTTGTATAGGCGTTGATGTCGGGAGGAGCATGGCATGGGTCTTTGATTCAATAGATTGGGACCCGGTGACATGCAAAGACTTCATATCGATTCTCAAGACGTATACATATCGACAATCCCCATTATCGATAATCCCCATTAGCTTATATGTTTGTATACATACTTGTAACGTTCACTTTTGGATACTAACAAGTTGTATTTGCTAAAATAATTCGAATAGGGCATTTAGATTCTATGTCACTAAACATCACGAAAGGCATGATCCAGTAAGAAAGGAAAAGCTGGCTATAAAAACACTATGTGCGGTAAGTGTAACTTACTTCTTCAGTACTCCATTACATGGTTGTCAAAAGCATTACTTAACATTTCTATATGCAAAAACACACAGTGTCCCCAAGCAGAAGCCTAGGAGTGTACATTGTGGATATTATATATGTTCTATGATAAGTAACACCGGTGCCTACAGGAGACACCCCTTAATGGTAAGTTTGAATCTCTTCACCTGTAGTATAAAAACTTCGTACATGGTATGAAATACTAAACCGAAACTTGTTCTCTTGTAGTGGAAAGAAGAGAAATAAATGAAAAGAGACCCATACAAGGATAACCAACTCTTAGAGCTTGTCGGTGACCTTTGCAACTTCATATTGGACCAGATTGTACACGTCAAAGGCACCTACCATGACCGAGAGTCCGACTTAGGTAGAAATCCTCAGTACCAACACCTTCGTGAGACTGAAATGCTAGCTCTAGACCATTGATAACAATGTGTATGGAATTTGACATTGATTTTACCTTGTGAATTATGTCTATTTAATGATGAATTATATATATTCTTGTGAATTGGACTTGTAATTATAGTTATATATAATACTCTTGTGCTTGTAGTTTATATAATACTCTTGAGCTATATCATCTGCTACATGCAAGCCTTATTTTTTTTAGCATACGGTAGGGTTTGTGTTGTTTTATATCCAATTGCTTATTTTAGGATGACAAAACGTAAATTATGCATTAGAGGTCAAGCATCAATTAACACTGTGTCTATTTTCATGTTCGTTGATGTGTTTATTGATTCAATTTTAGTTACCAAGATGCAATATCTAGGCAAGAAAGCTGCACTTTAATTATCACTCCACTGTTTTCCTTCAGGTCTACAGCATGATGTCACGTGAGATGATAGCTAGAGCTGAAGCATTGGAATCGTTCATTGGAAAAGGAAGTTTTGGAGTAAGAAATGTTCAAATACATTGTACTCTGCTTATATTTTTTCGTACCCTGCTGCTCTCCATGCTATGTTTGGTCCCAAACCATTAATCCATTTGGGTAGACCATTATTGCTAAAATATAGGTGAGTTCTCTTTGCTCTTCCTTTTGCCTGTTTACAAAAAGCCTATTCATAGTGTTGAAAGTATAATTGATTGATAGTGGTTTACGCTAGCAGATGCAGACGGCTGCCACATATTTCTGTACGAGATCTTTTGTATAATTTCTGTGTTTTGAATCACGGAACTTTCACCTGATCTTGCTACAGTTACTTCATATATATTTTAATCTCTTCATGCAATTAGATATACTGACTAATTATTAGGTAAAATAAAGAGCTACCAGGTACCTACAATCTTAACAGAGTTCTGGTTTGTGAACACTTACCTTAGTTGTTTGTCATTTTACCATATCTAAACTTTACAGTTGATGTTTATCAAATCCGTCGTGCAAGGCAACAGGTTCACAAGAAGAGCTACAACTATGATTCAAACTGACCCATGAATGCACCCCTTCTGAACCCAGATCTCCTCTATGATTCACCCTAGGTACTTTCATCTCTCCATCTTCCTTTCATGTATTTCTAAGGTTACAAAAAAATATTTGAGAGTGGTTGACTTTCTTATTGTCATGGCAAATTTTATCACGCATTTTTCCCAAAAATATTCATAGTTAAAGTGCCTTTGCTATACAATGTTTTAGAGAGGCTAATTATTTCGGTGATTTCGCTTTAGCTTCCCATATGCCATCTATAACGTTTAGATCTACGACTGCAGTTCCAACCTACTGCCGACGCGTGCGAGGGCGCGCATGATAGACTAGTGTAATAAACGCCTGAAAAGGTATTGAGAAAACCAAATAATAAGGGTCGTGTCATGACTGCAAATATGATGGTCGGGAAAAAGGGTCTCAGAAAAACTTTGACCAAGACAAACTTGTCTACCGTTAATAAAAAGCCGCATGAGCCCAGTCCGCCCTCCTGAAGATTTCATTCCACCGGCAAGCTGCAGGAGTGCAGGGCTATAAAAGTAGGAGAAAGAGATAGGAGCTAGGAGTATAGCAGAGGATTACAGACTAGCAGCACACTCTCACTCAACACACTAGAGGAAGAACACAACCTGCTCGGGGAGCACCTGTCCCACCCTGAGCTGATTTAAGGCTCCTGCTGTTACAGACTAGTGGTTGATGCGCCTGATCCAAGCAAGATTTGATGCAGGAGGAGAACATTTTACCCATGCGTTAATGGCTGACGAGTGACGACCGTTGTAGCACTGTTCTGAAGCAATGCTCGTTTGGGCCCTCAATAATAACGCCCAATGGATCGAGCAGACAATTCGTGGGCAAGCCTAATGGTGCCGCGAGCACGCCGATGCCCGCGCAATCATTTCATCCAGATCAAATCGCGCAGCAGAGGGGAGTTGCTGGCTTGCTGCTGCCTCCGTCCATCCAGTGAGCACACACTCCCAATCATTCCGCCAAGTGAAGCTCCTTTGGCACGGCTCATCCAAATGGCTTCACCGGTGAAGCAAGCTGGTGAAACCAGAAAAACTGGTTTTTTTCGACTTCTCATTTTAACCCCGGCTTACAAAACAGTTTCACGCTACGGTGCCTCGATTTGCGCAAAATAGATGAAGCCGAAGTCAGCATAAGCCGTGCCAAAAGAGGCCCTTACTGAAGACTGACAGCAGACCTGTATGTCCTGCTGACTGCTGTAGATTTTCAGATTCAGACCAACAGTGCTGCAAAAGTGCAAACTGCAAAGCATGGCAGAGAAGCAGCAAATTAATCAATCTATCCAAGTGGTTAGAACGGACTGGTGAAGCCAAGCTCAGAAGCTCTTGGTATCAAAGTTTTGTGAATAATAGTTTCATCAGTACTCCATCTTTGCACTTTGTATAGTAGCCTGGGGTATGTGTTACTGTACTGTCAGGCTTCTGAATTCCAGAGAACCGTATAGGTACGTCTTCCATAAATGCATCAGGCAACGGGATAGTAACTCATAGTAGAGAACAGTGCATTGAGTAACTAATCTTCTTGAGATCAGATCCCTACCCTACTCCCAAATCAGATGGCGCCTTCCCCTCCTACTGAAAGAGCCGAATGTTCTGAAATCTGGACGAAGAAAATGGTGCTCTTTTCATGTTTCAGAGTTCAGAGTTCAGACACATAAACACCCTGTTGCCGTGTTGCAGAGTACTCCTAGCTAGCTAGGAATAACTTCCTTCCATGGAACGTTCGATTGCAGGAGCATGAGCCGCTTCTCCCAAGTGCTTTTTTAGTTCCCAAAATTTTGCAAAATTTTTCAAGATTTCTCGTCACATCGAATCTTTGGACGCATGCATTAAGCATTAAATATAAATAAAAAATAAAACTAATTACACAGTTTAGACGAAATTCACGAGACGAATCTTTTAAGCCTAATTAGATTATGATTGGACACTAATTACCAAATAACAACGAAAGTGCTACGTTACTATTTCCGAAAAAAATCACCAACTAAACAAGGCCTTAAAAAAAAAAGAGGCCTCCTTCCTTTTGACAATTCCCCTGCTGCCCGCCAGAGCTCCAGGGACATGATTATAGCTGTACTGATGAAGAACCTTCGTCCCCAATCCATGTCTCGCAAGTGGCGAGCCTTTTACTACTGCCCCCCTCAGCAGTCACCAGTCACTACCGGGGCTAATCAACAGCTCTACGAGAAACCTAATCCCGTCCTGTCCCTGCAAACCACACCCCTACGTACACTTTGGCCCGGTAATAAATTACACACCATCCTGCCATCACGCTCCCTCCCGTACAGTCAGCCTGGTCGCTGGTTCGTTTCAGAGCTGATAAGGTTGGCTGGTGCTGGTTTATTGTGAGAAAAAATATTGTATTATGCCTGATAAGCTATGACCGAAACCAACAAACGAACAGGCTGAACGGCATACATTATTCTCCTGTTAACCCAGATCAAAACCTGACCATGCGTCCATGCTAGATGTTACTGCAGTTCTGCCACAGTGCCATATGCTTCCATCACAAGTCACAGCCGTAACAGTGCGTCTCCAGCTGATGCTACGCCATTGCAAAGAAGCTTTTCGCGTCGCCATCATGCTCGCTTTCACTCGTCCAACTAAAATGTCCCCATGCTGTCCCTGTATCACGCCACGGCTTCTATTTCCAGCTGCCATGACGACAAGTGTTCTGCTGCTGCTGCTGTCCCTCTCGGCGACCGTTGCGCTCGCCGTTCCGCAGCAGCAGGAGCTGCAGCTGCAGGACACGGTCCTGCTCGACGACGTCGTGCAGGAGGCCGCCGAGGAGTGGTACCACGGGCGGCACCGGAGGACGGGCGTCGCGTACCCGCTCTCGCTACCGGGGAGCCTGTTGGGCGTCGACGCCACCGTGGCGCGGTTCCGCGCGGGCAGCCTCCGGAGGTACGGCGTCCGGCGGTTCGGCGAGTTCTCCGTGCCGACGGGGCTCGCCGTGCGCGGCCGGGCCGCCGCGCACCTGATCGCGGTGCGCGTCAACCTGGGGAATCTCTCCTCCGTGTACGACGAGTACGCGGTGGGCGCCGGGTACCGCCTCGCGTCGCCGGTGCTCGGGCTCATGTTCTACGGCCTGGCCCGGCGCAACGGCACGGCGGCGCTGGAGATCGACCTCACGGGCGCCTTCATCCGCGTCAACTTCTCCGTGGCCATCCCGGCGCTCCAGCCGGGCGCCGCGGTGCTCTGCATGGCCGTGGGGCTCAACAGCAGCGTCACTGTGACGGACGTGGAGGACGGGACCAACACCTGCCACGCGTCGGACCAGGGCCACTTCGCGCTCGTCGTGGGGGGAGCCGGCGACGGAGGCGGCGGCAGTGCCGGCGGCGGGGAGGCGGATATCGGGGAGGTCAGCAAGTGGAAGCTGGCGCTGTTCGGCGCGGCGCTGGGCGCGGGCGGCACCGTGCTTCTGGGGATGGTCGCCGTGGCCGTGGTCAGCATCCAGCGCCGCAAGTCGGAGATGGCGGAGATGGAGCGGCGGGCCTACGAGGAGGAGTCGCTGCGCGTGTCCATGGTCGGGCACGTGCGCGCGCCGTCAGCGGCCGGTTCGCGCACCACGCCGGACGAGCTCGAGAGCGAGTACTGTGCCACGTTGTGACACAGTGCACACTGGAAACCTTGGAAGGAAAACAATTGCTTGTAATTTCAAATTTCTCTTCCTTTATTAGGAACTTCGATTAACATTCTTTATGTAATTTTTTTCTGCGGTAATACTTTGGTTAAAATAATGGAGGGCGTAAACACGGGGGGTATTAGTTGTACTTATTATCGTAAGTTCTTTGTAGTTAAACTGTAAACACTGTAACTCGCTGAAATGTCTTTAACATGCTGTCCATTCTTTCATGGATCACGCAGTCACGTTCAATTTCTTGTGTGGAACAAAAAGGTGTTACGTTCTCCACGCAAGTGACCAAGAGATTCCAGGTAGAACAGCAAGAACTCGAGACCAAGGGATTCAGGAAGAATTCGCGAATGGTTCAGAGTATTTCGGATATACAGTTCCATGATAACCACAACATTTGCAGGGCTCGATTTCTATGTACTGCCTACCGACTTCGCCTTGGCCCAGCCCGCTACGCTTGAGATGTTTCGCTTGATGCCTTGATCCATTTAAGCAGATGTACCTGCTTCAACAGTTGCAAATGAATTTGTTTAGAAAATATCGATCTGATCTCCCTCAACTAGATTTTACACTCCAAAAATCAGATTTATCTTTCTCAATAAAAAAATCAGATTTTATACTCCTTCAGATTTTTAATCGGAATTTCGTGATAGTTCAGCGGATCAATTAAACTTTTTCCAAAAAAAAATCAAAAGATATCCAAATGTTTGAATAAATATGCATTTTAAAATACGAAAATCTGATTTAATATTACATTTTTTAGAAAAAATGTTTTAACTTAGAAAAATGAAAATAAATTCATATTTTCCCCTAAAATTATGCTCTATTTTTTAGAGCTAGAAACCATAATATATAGTACGACGTTAGGAAATGTATGAATTGAAGCCTAGATCCGTCTAAATTGCCTTCCTGCTCGATCACGTGCTCCCGATGCGCGCGCGAACCTACAATAGCAACGACAAAATGAGGAAGTGGTCGCATCTATCCACATGTTGCCAACATATTCGCAAATGTCGGATCCAGTGTGAGAAGTCGCACGCCAGCTACAGCAAATGGTCTAGTGAGTCTTCACATGCCATCGTTGTCATGTCAAGATAGTGCTGCTACAAAGTTAAACCGCGTGATACATAGATACATACAGTTAATGTGCAACTAGAACATGAATTATAATTTTTATTTCGATTTTCCGTGCATCTCTCGATGGCTAAACAAGATGTTGATGTTGATAAAATGTTGTTTGCAGTTTGCATAGGGGGTTTACAAGGATTTATCTTGACCTACATCCCCCATTTCATATTTGGTCCGATTTCATATTTTAGGACTTCAGATAAGATTCAAATAATTATAAGCAGTGAACAAAAACGTAGAGCATGATTTTAGAAAAAAATATATATGGCTAGTTTCATATTTGTCCTAAGTTAAAACAAAATTTCTATGAACATTCTAAGGTTAAATCAGATTTTGGTATTTTTAAATGAATATTTTTTCTAGAAAAATATTTGGATATTTTTTTGAAAAATTATCTCTATAGTTTTTTTGGGTAAAGTTTAATTAACTCCTAAACTATTGTAAAAGTATGATTTATCTCCCTTGGAGCTGATGCGCTAAGTAGGACAGCTGACGTGGCATCACGTTAGGTAATACCACTTAGGCCTTGTTTAGATTGCAAAATTTTGCAACCTGGACACTGTAGCACGTTTCGTTTGTATTTGACAAACTTTGTCCGATCATGGACTAACTAGGCTCAAAAGATCCATCTCGTGATTTACAACCAAACTGTGTAATTAGTTATTTTTTTTACCTACATTTAATGCTCCATGCATGCGTCCAAAAATTGATGTGATGGAGAGAGAGTGAAAAAACTTAGAATTTGGAGATGATCTAAACAAGGCCTTAAAGAGGTAAATCAGATGGTTTAAAAAGTTGGCTAGCCTAAAAATCCGATTTTCCCATTATAGAAAGGCAAATTATACTAGTGCAACAGTCGAAGGAGGCAGATGGACCTTTTTCAATTTGTATTTGTATCAGATCGCTTGATCCATTCTGGTTCATTGCGGTGATATGGAACTTTGGTACCGCACCTAGGCTAGCGCCCGGAGATCCGAACTCAGCACGAGCACGGACGTAGCTCCTAGGCGTGTGATATGCACGGTAACCATCCGGTACGAGCGACTCGCCCCGCTTCCCACGGCGCGCGGCTCGCCCTGCCTTCCAATGTCCACAAGCGCGGCACGTCCGCGTGGCCCCCAGAACGCCCCGTCTGCAGCCCCTCTGGCTCGCCCCGTCCTCAGGCCCCTGGCACTCCGCCACCACCCCATCCCCGGCGCCCGGGTCATGCCCCCATTACTCACTGTGCTCCATGACTCTCTGAACATACCTATGAAACATTTGCAACATGAAACACTTGAATGCAACGTACAGATGAAACAGATGAAATATTTAGAACATACACTTGCAACATATGTATAAAGCATATGCAACATTCAGATAAAAACACTTGCAACATACGTCTGAAATAGATAAAACATTTTTATATACGTATTGCAACATATGCAACATCTAGATGTATTTTTGCAACATCTAGATAAAACAACTTGAAACATTTATCTGAAATAGTTGAAACACTTAGAACATACACTTGCAACGCAATGTTACCTTGTTGCTTGGGCGGGTAGATACTCATCGTTGCGGAGCTTGACGCCGACGCGGAGGTTGGCGGTGGCGCGGGGAGCTCGCAGTAGCGCGGAGCTCGCCGATGTGGCAGTGGCGCGAGCAACTTGCCAGCAGGGCGGCGTCACACGAAGCTCCTCCCCTCCCCTCCGTCGTGGAGCGCTCACTGGCTCTATGGCGCATGCGTGGAGCTCGACGGCATGCCAGTGGCCGGTAGCGTGCACAATGGAGGCTGCAACGGGCGAGGAGGAAGAGAAATGCGTCCAATTTTTATAGATAGAGAAGTCGTAAGGAGAGCAAGCCTATTAGTTTGACGCCCCGCGCACAGCATTATGGAATCAAATATGACCCAAAAATATAATCCTGGGCTGCCCATTTGGTCAGACCCACACCCACTGGGCCGATAATTTCGTATGGCATGGACCGGTAAGCAGTGGTAACAAAAATAACAAGACTGACAGCCAAGATGCTGACGCTGAGCCATGCTCCTCTCTTCCTCTTCGACAGAAAGTACAGCGCTATCTTCTCCGAAGAGTGTTTTTCAAGCCATGCTTAGATCTATGATTTGAAAGAAATATCTAGAAAATACTTCCCATCTCATTATTAGATTACTTTCTAAATTCTCGCAATTCTTAAAAACCAAACATTGCCTAATAAAACTTTATATTAATTAAATAATAATAGTAATAACACAGAAGGAAAGAGGAGAAGAAGCGGCAGGGCCACCGCCGCCGGGGGATAAAACCTCGGGTAGCCGACGAGTCGGGTTGGCACTCCACCCGCGGGCCGCGGACGCGGTAACTCCCCCTCGATCCCTCCTATTTATCCCACTTCCCAGTTCCCACCACGCCACCCCACCACCGGACTGAGGGCTGAGGCGTCGTCTTGCGTCGCGCTGCAGCTGCTGCTCTTGTTGGTGGCGGACAGGCTCCATTCGGCTGGTATGGCTTCCGGAGGCGTCGCCCGCGCCCGCCTCGCCGAGGAGCGCAAGTCGTGGCGCAGGAGCCATCCCCACGTGCGCGCCATCATCCTCTTATTGCTAGTCGATCTACGCTCCCTCGCAGTTTTAAGGTTGGAGCGTTTGATGACGATGCTGGCTTATCTTCTTTTTCAGGGCTTCGTGGCCAAGCCGGCGACGCTGCCGGATGGCTCCGTCAACCTCATGCTCTGGAACTGCGTCGTCCCCGGCAAGCAAGGCGTAAGCAAAACTCACCCCAGCACGTCCTAACCTTTTCGATCTGTTCTGCAGCGCTGTGCATGGTGGCAAAAGTATTCAAGTCGGCCGTCTTCTTGCGTGACGACCCCCAATGTGTTGCTCTGAATTTTATATATCTGTCACTTGTTCTTATGCTACAAGAACTTTCGGGAATATTATGTTACAACTCCAAATCCCGCTTGTTATCTTTTTTTTTAATCGTGTTAATGGAAGCATAACTATTTTAAGATATTGCATCGAAAGAGAAATGACGTGCCCTATGCACATCAGGGCCGCATGGACAATTAGATATGGTTCCTTTTTATATTAGAAAAAAGGTGAAAAGACAACAAACAAGACTTTTGCACTTCCGTAGAAAAGTTTGTTAAGGCTATTTCCAATCTATTGTTTAGTCCTGCCTCTCCAAATGTGATATTTTTGTAATCATCAAAGTTTTATTAGTTTGACTCAAAACCTTATCCGAAATGTCTAGTATTTGCATATCCAACGAAGTAGTTTGTTTATTGAGTCCAGCTTGTTTTTTTAGTGGAGATACTAGCTCCTCAAATATCCTGCCATTGCCATCTTTTATCCTAGTTGAACATCTAACTGAAGCAAGGCAATACGCATTGGAGGGACCATGAATGCCATGGTGTTGTTTCTTATAAATCACAAGTCAGTTGTATGAATTGTGTCCATAACAATTATTCCAAAATACATGCAGGTTTCAAAAGTTGTTTTTTGTGCACAGGTTATATCATATTGCTCCTATCTCTCTGTTCCTTAAACCTTAATTACTTGATATATGTCAGTAAATGTCCTACATGACACCTAATTAATGTTCTTAATACTACCTCATTCGGAGTAGTCAATCCTTTATTTGGAACGAAAGTGAGTTACACATTAATTCATATTCATATCTTAAGTGTTGAAATATATTGACACATGAAATGCTTGGAAGCTACTTTCACAATTTAGCACCTTTTCTGGCCTAGGTCTTGACTCCTCCCCGTCATAAAATTAATATAAAACAGCAGTTCTCTGCCATTTTAACGTTTAAAAACACTTTTTACAATTGAGGCACCATAGATTTGTTGTCCTTTTCCTTATCTTGTCGAGCAACATGTCTTAATTATGTCTATATATATGCAGACTGATTGGGAGGGTGGGCATTTCCCATTGACTTTGCATTTTACTGAAGACTACCCAAGTAGACCTCCCGACTGCAAATTTCCGGCAGGTTTCTTCCATGTTAATGTCTACCAAACTGGTTCAGTATGCTTGTCGATCCTTGGCAGCGTAAGTTTCAACTGTGTACTATATTTACAGGATGATATCAGTTGCTTGCCATACAGAAAGCATCACTGATCACTTGGACATCATTTTTTTCTATATATATTTCTTTCAGGCATGGAAACCTTCTATCACAGTGCGGCAAATTCTAATCGGCATTCAGGACCTTCTTGATAATCCAAATCCAGACTCCTCAGCGCAGAACTTATGCTACAAGCTCTTTATAGAGGTTTTTTTTTACATAATTTATAAAAACTTACAGTAGGAAGTTAAAATATAATAAGGAATTTTCATCCTTACAATTCACTCAGGCGCTTACCATTGCGTTTTCTTGTGTGCCATTCATTGTCGTTTGCAGGATATGCCAGAGTATAAGAGTCGTGTTCGTCAACAGGCCAAGCGTTACCCTTCACTTGTGTAACGTTGGACCATCTCTGGCACCAAACCAGTTCCTCACTTCGTTGGACATTGTCAAGATTGTGCTTATATTATTCATCATTTCAGTAGGCTTGTTGGAACTTTTTAAATGCATTTCAGTGGCTTGTCGTACATGAAGCAAGCTTCTGTTCTATATTGTGCCTTTTAGTGTCTGCATTCTGCAAATATGAGTGATTCACATTTTCCTTTCTCGTAACTGTCTGTCCCGGATTCCGTTACCAGCGTAACACGGAATTGCTGAAAGTAATTTTGTTTGCAATTGAAGCTGAACAAGAAGGTTAAAAAAATTTGGTCCGAGTAGAGAAGACAAAAGCAGCAGCATGTCCGAGTTAATAGAGAGCACTTAGTTGCTTCATCATTTTCAAAGAACTAAAAAACAATCCTCAACCGAACAGAGCGCGGTGGGATCGATGTGATACAGTCCAGAACTACCTCTGTTAGGGGAAATTCAGTTCATCGAGTCAGGGCAGGACCGTTGCCATAGTTGTCCAAGTAACTTGATTGGTAGGTCAAAACCATTTTTTTTACCTCCTTCCTCTTGTTAGGAGCGGCTTTTAGGCTGATTTTACCATTTTCATTAAAAAATTTAGCAAACACGCAAAGGTTATTAAATCACAAAAATGGTCTCCAAGCTTGTAAACTTTTGAGAAAAAAAAACATAGAGATAGACTGGGATACAAGAAACTCAAATAAAAGTATATATAAACCATGAAATTATATCTCAAAAATATATTTAGCTCTAGGGAAATGGGAAAAAATATCTAGATTTTTTCTTAAAAATTAACAAAACATTTCAATCACTCTAAATGTATTTTTATAAACTTTTCACGACAAAAACACGAGATTCAACCAACATGAATGCATTATTCATGCTAGTTACATATCATGTTTTTATTATGGAGAAATTTTAAATGTGTTTAGACATTGATTAAAATGTTTTGAAAATTTTCTAGATATTCTTTCCATTTCCCTAGAGCCAAATCATGTTTATGGAGGCTTCTAGATTTATTTTCCACAATCTCTAAATATTTTATTTGGATGTCCCAATCTAGATTTTTCTGAAAATCTTAATAACCTTAGAGATATTTTTTTGTAGTTTTAAAACCTTACTCAAGTGTTTATTAGAATTTTTTAATTACAAATGACAAACCACCTCTAACCAGGACATGGGGTCAATTTAAATGGTTTTTAAAGTTAAGAGAGGTAGTTTACTTGCTTTTGAAGTTAGAGAAAATAACCTATACTATGATAATAATAATAATAATTCAGAAGATAAAAATGACATTTCCTTTTGTTTATTGCTCCCAAAAAAACGTCTAGAGAGAGAGAGAGAGAGAACATGGGCTGGTAAGCGAAGGCCCAAGCCCACGTCAAGAGGAGAAAAAGCTAGTACCTCGGGCTTCGGGCCGCCAACTGCATTCCAGTAACATGTCCTAAAGCCACTGGGAGCTGAACCGGAGCGGCGGGCAAACATCCACTATTCCACTCGATCCCAAATTCCCAATTCCAACCACTGCTCTCGCGCGATTTCCCGCAAAAGGACAGGCACAGCGCGCCAGAGCCGGGCTCGTCGGATGGCGTCCGGAGGCGCCGCCCGCGGTCGCCTCGCTGAGGAGCGCAAGGCGTGGCGCAAGAGCCACCCCCACGTGCGTGCGCGCCATCATCCTCGCCGCGTCTTCTTACTGCTAGTCTAGTAGATCCACGCTCCGTTGCTGTTTTAAGATTGGGGAGTTGATGCCATGCTTGCTTCCTTCTTTTCAGGGCTTCGTGGCCAAGCCGGCGACGCTGCCGGATGGCTCTGTCAACCTCATGCTCTGGAACTGCCCAGTCCTCCCCGCAAATCTTCTGCCATGGCCCATGTGCTGCAGTGTGTTTGGCAGTTGGCACGCGTTCAGTCGAATGTATCTGAGCCCTAATTTTCCACCAAACTGTGCAATTAATTTTTCTTTTCGTCTACATTTAATGTTCTATGCACGGGCCCGTAAACATTTGATGTGACAGATACTGTAGCAACTTTTTAAAAATTGGGGTGGAACTAAACAAGGGCTGACTTTTGTTCAACAGTTGGCACGCGTCCTTTTCTTCAGTTCTGTCGAATGTGTCTGACTTTTGTTCAACCTGAAAAAATATAAGAAATGAAAATTTTTGATGTCATATCGGATGTTTCGGGGATATCGAAGAGGTTTTAGATACTAATAAAAAAACTAATTATATACTGCGAGACGAATTTATTAAGCCTAATTAATCCATCATTAGCGCATGTTAGTTACTGTAGCACTTATGTCTAATCATAGACTAATTAGTCTTAAAACATTTGTCTCGTGATTTTCAACCAAACTGTGCAATTAGTTTTTTTTCGTCTATATTTAATACTTCATGCATATGCTGCAAAACTCGATGTGATAGTTTGGGGTGAAAATTTTTTGAACTAAACCCGGCCTTATTTAAGAAAGGGAAACAGGAGAAGAATATATCCATCTTTTGTACTAGCTAAGATGCTAGATCTGACCATCATTGTGTGAAGCCAAAGGGCCAAATAAGAGGACTAGGGGTCTGTTTCTATATGATCTCTTAAAAATTTCGGTCACGTTGAATGTTTGGACACATGTATGGAGTATTAAATATAGACTAATTATGAAACTAATTGCACAACTTGCGATTAATTTGCGAGACGAATCTTTTAAGCCTAATTAGTCCATAATTTTACAACGCGATGCTACAGTAAACATGTGCTAATGACGGATTAATTAGTCTTAAAAAATTCGTCTCGCAAATTAGCCTCCGTCTATGTAATTGATTTTGTAATTAATCTATATTTAGTGCTCCTTATTATCTAAACATTCGATGTGACATAAATTTTAGGAGCGACTAGAAAACAAACACAGGTTTCACTAGGGGTTTGCAGTACTTGATCGTGAGCACTTGCTTCATTCTGGGCTGCGAAACCCTTCCAACTACTGCATCTGGAACATTTTTGTACTGCTAAAGGTTGGGAAATGAATACAATGAGCCTAATCCTGCAACATTGTTCATAGATGGCAGCCCTGTCATTATTCTAGTTAACTATATTTGGGTTTACTGTGCTGGTTCTGTTCATGAAGGATTCAGCGGAATCTGCAGGCATATTGCTTTGTTTGGAAACCAAATGAAGCTTTTCCAATTGGTTGCAAGTGCCACTTTATTCTGATGACAAGTTAAACTTTCTATAAAGACTTAGCAATCTCTCACGCTCCACTTCCTAACTGCCCGGTTATGTATTGGTTGAAAAAATAACCATTTTAGTCTATTGTCCCAAAACAGAAACATGCAAGCATTATGATCTGACAAGATTTTCAGAATCCAGGAGTGCTAGTGGTAGAGGGATTGTAAGTGTCTTTTGCATCTCCTATTTTCTTACTCCTTTATAATCACATATTACGGTAAAATTCTTGCCATCTTTTCGAGTCACCCCCCCCACAGAATTCAGGTTTTAAAAATGCATAGCCTTTCAGCTTAAGTGACATAGAACTCCATAGTTTCCTGGCATTGTGGCCAAGCCAACAATGCTGCTGGATGTGTTGGACAATCTGATGCTCTATCAAGTAAGGTGTAAGAATAAAAAACCATAAGAGCTTATCAACCCTTTCTGTGTATGCTGGTAGTGTGGTTGACACTTGACAATCTTAGTGACTGTGGGATCCTTGTTCAGTTTTGTCGTGTGCACATATGGTCTGATCCTGTCCCACCTAGAAACTAGCATATAATATGACTAAAAGGTAAAGTTTGGAAAGAACCCATGTATCTACTCTTGCATAGATGAGCTGTTCCACTAAGAAATCAGGATTTTCTGCTTGCATAGAAAAAACACAGTTCCATTCTACTATAATATATTCAGGGTTTTCCCTTGCATAGAAGAGTTTATGGTCCTATTCTACTACAACAAAATTTTGGTGTTCCCTCTGGCGTACAAGAGTTTATATGGTGCTAAGGTCATGAAGGCTTAAACGAAACCTGTGATTTTGGCCCCATTTGTTGTTCTGCTTTATTTGTAAATGTTCTCAGTTCAATAGTTTTTGCCATACACACTCTCAAATCTGTTTTCATAATACCACTTTTTTCTATTGGTGGATAGTTTTCATCTCATCGTGTTACCATAAATTGTCGCTCTACTCATACTCCCCATCCCAAACTGTCTTAGCATATAACTAGGATCATGTTTGATTCATCTTTATGCAGACTGATTGGGAGGTGGATATTTCCCAGTTACTCTCCATTTTACTGAGAATTACCCAAGTAACCCTCCAACCTGCAAGTTTCCACGAAGGTTTTTCCATGTCAATGTCTATGATTCCGGGGATGTATGCCTGTCAATACTTGGTGACGTAAGCTTCAACTGAGCGGACACTTTCTTCTTTTTCAGTATCACTACAATTCTATATCATGCAAATAACATCACTTGGCCTTCATGGCTAATTTCTTAGGCATGGGCGCCTTCTATCACAGTGCGGCAAATTCTTATAGGCATCCAGGAGCTGCTGGATAACCCAAATCCAGCCTCTCCAGCACAGGATTTTGCTTATGATTTCTTTGCAAAGGTCTTAAAATAACTTAGCCTGAAAATTCTCTATTTTTTATATGATTATGTGCTTATCATTGTGTTCTTCTGTGCCATTCATTCGCAGAATATGCCAGAATACAAGAGACGTGTCCGTGCGCAAGCCAAGAGGTATCCCTCGCTCGTGTAGCCGTGGACCTCTACAACGCACTTGCTGCTAAGCGCTAACCAAGGGCCCGTTTGGTTTGTAAAATTTTTGGCGAAATGCTACTATAGTATTTTCGTTGTTATTTGGCAATTAGTGTTCAGTCATAGTCTAATTAGGCTTAAAAGATTCGTCTCGTGAATTTCGTCTAAACTGTGTAATTAGTTTTATTTTTTATTTATATTTAATGCTTCATGCATGTGTTTAAAGATTTGATGTAACAGGGAATCTTAAAATTTTTTGCAAAATGAAGTGGAACTAAACTGCCCCAAGTAGTAGTTATTTTGATGTAGTGGAACTTGTCATGATTGTGCTTAGCCGTACGCTTATTGGAACTGCTAAAGTGCACTCCGACTACGTCTTATTATTATGCCCTATCAGCGTATATAGTGTTGGCGATATTAAAAACAGAAATGTTATATAACACACATGTGTTTTAGCATTAAAATATATATAGATTTTCTCTCTCTCTCCCTCTCTCTCTTTTCAACTGTCTCCCTCGCCGGTTTCGGTACGGCAACGCCGACGGCGAACCCTCCGGTGAAGCTCCGGACCCACAACTGGGACCTGGTTGGGGCCCAACCTTCCAGCAGGCGACACCTGCCGTCGTTGGATCCATCCTGTGCCTAATCTTCCCGGGTCCTGGTCCAACTGGGGGTGCCACACGCAAGCAAGGCCCACTGCTGAGGGAGGCGCAACGTCGACTACATTCGTCACGCTGGTTTCGCTTGTCCTCTTGTCCTTGCATAGAAAAAAATTGTTTCTTGTGATATGTGGATCTGTGAATCTGTGATCTTGTGATTTGTGATTGTCTGTAGGTAGAAGAAGGCTGGAGGTAGAAGGAGGATGGAGGTTGTTGGATCTTAATTCTATAGTGTAAAAAAATTCATGTGTTGAAACTGCATAAAACACATGGTTGTTGGGTAGACACTATTAAAAAAGGGCTTTGTTGTGGTACCCTTAAATGACTGTGAGCCGTTCATTTGATTAGATCGAAGGGCTAAAATCATGTATTACTTTCTAGAAGGTAATAGATAAAATAAGTAAAATTTTAGATATAAAGATCTTTTTTAGATCTAATTGATGCATGCATGATCTATTAGACATAATGATTTTTTCTATTTTAGTAACTTTGGATATAACATAATTTAATTAGAATAAACTAATTATTTATTGATGCACTTGTTACTTAGGAACGCAACATAACGTGCGTATATATATGCCCAACTTACATGCACGTATATGAAACACTATGTAGGTATATATGAAACTTTAAGATAGCTAAAATATGACTGGTTTTTAATTTTAACATAAAAATATCATCAAGCTTTATACATGATGAAGTCCTAAAAAATATTTTTGGTACCCTGTTGTTATTGGTGTACAATTTTAACCTTATATTGTGATAGGTTTAGTTTAGCCATGGGAACCAGAAAAAAGAGGACGTGACTACAATCGCACAAAAGAAAGGGTGCAGCCATGTGCAAGAACAAGGAAGGGGCTGCATGCCCACCCATGTCTCAGCATGATTAGAGCGATTTGAGAATAGTTTTCCTTTTTTAATTAATTGATTAATTTAAAAATTTAAAAAAAATCAATGGCTCAGATTTATTTAAAATATTAAGAAGGGTACCGTAGCATTGCTCATTAAAAAAATGTTTTGCCCTTGTAAAGTGGCAACCCCAAACTCCAAGTGTCACAACTCACAGAGGAGTTAGCTCGATAGTCGACACCTAGAAATAGCTTTATTAGAAATATATATGGGTATTTGCTTCTTCTTTTTTGAACCTAACTTGTTCCAATTTATATGTCGTTTTAGTATTTCTAGGCACATAGCTTTTGCTATGTATCTAGACAGTTGTATATCTATATACATAGCAAATCTCATGTATCTAGAAAGACAAAAC